CTCCATTAAGCTAAAATAGGTTTGTGCTTATATGTGTATAGTGGACTGTAGCTCTGCAACAGAACTTTGAGTAGTGACATAATAATGGCCTTATAGACTGCCATCTCATTCGTAAAGGGACGCTCCACTGCCCAAATACCAAAGAAAAAAATAATTTGAAAAAACTGCTTATTACATATACCACATTGAAAGCACCATGCATACATTAATTATAAAAAAAAATGTATTGGGGTATAGCTAAAACAGTTTGCAAAACCTGTAGATATTTTCTCTGTAGCCTTTGCAAGCCCTCCCTTTTTAACCCTGCCCGGACTGTCTGCGGCTGTCCAATAACAGACTTTCCAATGCTTAATGAGAAGTCTTTGCAAGGCAGGTGCTCTGGGCAATTGCTGCCTCTTGAGTTTAGTCCCAATGACATCCAGGAAGTAACAGGATTGGTTGTCTGATTGACAGCCAGGGGGTGTAACAAGGTTAACTTATAAAAGTGTCAACTTCTCTGAAAATCTACACTTTTAATAAAATGTAAAAAAGAGGACACCCCATACATACATAAAGCAATTCAGCAAGCTAAAATGCTTTAGTGATATGGAGTGTCCATTTAATATTGTGAAAGCACATGGTAATAACCTACTTTGTGTTACACAAGTACTTCCAATGGCTTCCAGTTTGTTCTGATTCAAATAGAAACATTTTACATCCACTTCTGTCATGTGCTGCAAACAAAGTTCCTGAAGGCTGAGAAGGGTGAGCCAGTTACATAACTCATGAATAGCCAATGGTGATTGGCAGAGTTAGAATGCCATTCAGTCTTTATTGCTTAATGTGTTTCTGCAGGTTCAACAGAGGGGTGGTCCCAGAAGATTCCCACCATTTCTGTGGAAACTCTCAAAACAACCAACTGTCTCCAGATGTTCCCAGGGTTACTCAAAAACCAAGCAGCTCTCCACCAATACAGAAGGCAATGGGAACTTTCAACCATCCCATTCATGAGCGACCAAGAGGACACCCTCACCCAGACACCTCTAAATATCCTTGGGATAAGGACTCATGGACTGTGTTGGGGCCAGTGTTAAATGCACAGTGGGTTAAAAGGAAGCAAGAACTTCGGGGAACACGTCCTTGGTAAGGGGGAGGCTGTTACTATTGACAATGTGCTAATACTATAGGTGAGAGAGATTGGTACAATGGACGATATGACTGATGATAGGTTTGGAGGTGGAAATACAGAGGCTGGCATTAAAGCACTTTTATGTACAATTTAATATTAACATTTTTAAGAAAATAAACTAGATATTTATTCATAGACCCTGTGTGTATTTAAAATCTTATCGCTTTCTTCATCTAATTATATTTTTCAGTCTTCGCAAATATATATTTGTTAAAAATATAGGTAAATATAATTAAACATATTAAAAACTCCTGGGTTGTGATGTGTCCCCTTTAAGGATTGCATCATCATATTATCCTTACAAGATATATAGGACCTACATCATTCTAATGGGAAGCCCTATGTAGGCCGTAAGACATCCTGGTTTCCAGTTCTTTAAAACATCCCTAAAACCCACTAGTTTTGGAAAAATATATTGGCAAATAGAGAACGTCCTATCATTAGAGTAGTCTAACTCATTATATCGTCCATAAATTCTACGTATGGTTCCATTGAGGCTTACTCTTCACTGCTGCCTCTTATGGTTGACGTCATGGTGTGATGATTTGGTTTCCCCATTTTGGTGTGGGTTTAGATGCCATCATATTCATTAGTGATCTAGTTTCAGGCTGTGAAAGCTATATGTACTAGTTATAGAAGACAGAAATAAAATAAAATAGGGGCTGATCCAGAAGCCCCAGAGAACAGTAATAGGGGACTAGTGGACTAGCTCCGGGTGGGGAGGGGGGGTGAAATGCCCACTGACACTCTCTCAAAGGATGGGGAATAACCCACAGGTAGTATGAAAAAGAATAGTAGCGGACCAAGGTGAGGTCCTAGAGGGAGGGTGACAAAACAAAGGAGAGGATGCCCTACCTTTAATATTTCTAAGGATGAAAAAGATGGGTAAGTAAAAATCGGTAAATAGGGAGAAGCACAATAATACAGCTGGTGAGATGTGTATATCGACGAGCCAGGGTCCAACTAGGAAGACACTAAACGTGACTAAAAATCCGATTTAGATGTCGGAATCCATGGCTCAACACAATCCCAGCATGTATACTAGCGGCAGGTATAACAGGAGGTAAAAAAATCACACAGGGAAGAGGATGGATGAACTGAGTCACAATAAACCATAAACCTCTGAAATCCTTAGTCCACCGTGGACTAGCCACTAATGCCTACCTGAACCAAGTCTCCCTGCCGGAAACTAAAAGCCAAATTACTAGTGCATACTAAATTAAAAGTGCTACCAAGTGTCATGAAAACAAAAAAGGAAAAGCTCGATGCGCTGGCTCATCGATATACACATCTCACCAGCTGTATTATTGTGCTGCTCCCTATTTACCGATTTTTACTTACCCATCTTTTTCATCCTTAGAAATATTAAAGGTGGGGCATCTTCTATTTTCTTTTGCCACCCTACTTCTAGGATCTAACCTTAGTCTGCTAATTTTTGTATTTTTTTTTGTATATGTACTAGTTGGTACTCAAGTTACAAACTCTGTTTGCAGAGCTGTCTTCTACTGGACACATGTATCTGCCGGTTCGGTCAATCAACAATCTGGAACGCATTGTGTTGGTTTGTTTTGTGGTTTTTACCCTAATGCTGTTAACTTATGGTGAAAATAAATACAAACTACATGTTTTTGATTATAACCAGTTCTGTTGCTTTACTGTCATATTAACGACTTTGTCAATAACTGAAGGCTATTATTTACCGGTAAGTTCTTAAACCGCACTATTATGCAAGTGTACCCACTTATATATTTAGAAAATAATCGTAAAGTTGCAGAAAGGAATATATCATTAGACTTACTGGTACAATAGGAGTAGAATACCCTGTCAGTGGGCTTTGATCCAACACATATAAAGTTCCTGATTATATTATGGGCATCTTCTCTGATGCTGCACATAGAAGCCTAAGGTACCAATATGTGCAAGTGAAGAAAAAGCTATTTAGGCCCGTGATGTCTTACTGAATTTTGCACGGAAACGTTACCGCACACGTGATATGAGGAGCAGCAGACTATAGTATTGCCAATCAACAAGGAAGATCAAATAACCTATTCGGACAGTCTCTGGTCTAGAAAGAGTCCTGTGGAAAATGCAAAACCCATTATGAGCCAACTTTTGTGTGGGTTGTTTTGTTATTTAAGCATCTGTATTTTTAGAGGAACCTATGGGTTTTTGTCAATATCCACTTAGAACCAGGGCCTGTTGGTGATCATGACAAGTGATTTAAGAAGCTGAATAATACATGAAATGAGCCAACTTATTGATCATTACAGGGAAAAGGGCCGGGACATGGATTTGTGGTAAAGTTATCAAGTCAGTTGAAGCTACAGTTCCAGATCATTTATTTTCTAAATATTCCTAATCATGTGAGAGAGATATATATATATATATATATAGAGAGAGAGAGAGAGAGAGAGAGAGACAGAAAGAGATAAACAAAAATAAATCTTTAAATTGAATACTATTTTAAATGGAATGCATTGAAACCAAAGGTGCAGAATATTAGTCAATGCTGATTTTAATATTCGATAGGTTAACGGTTTGCAGTGTCTTCCATCCTGGTATCTAGAGTAATTTTAATAACTTTTAGGCTAAAATGGTTGTCCTGAAAACATGCCAGTTATGAAGATTTTATTTCCCAGTTTGGTTAATTTGAAATTCAAATGCCGACTGTTCACGCTTTTGGGAATAACTCTGTCAATGTGTTAACTATACCACTGCTCAGGAAGCACACCTTGATAATGTTCCTCCCATGTGCCCCTGTTTAGGAGGGACTGTCCCTATTTTTGGCCCAACTCCCTCTAGTCTATCCTAATGCCCCACTGTGAAGAAAATAGACTTATTTTTGGCATTTTCTATTATTTGTGACTTTCCGCTGTATTCGTTTATTTTGGAGTTATTGGTTCGGTAGATTAACCCCTTAAGGACTGAGCCAAATGTACACGTTGTAAACAAAACCTGGCATTTGCGCTATATGTCTGTCCAACTGTAATTCACCTCTTTCATATTAAATGCACCCACACTTATTATATATCATTTTATTCAGGTCACAAACACTGGCCAGTTAGCGTTAATATTTGTGTGTGAAAAATGCAAAAAACGCCAATTTGGGCCAGTGTTTGTGACTAAGTGGCTACTAAAAAAGACTGGACATACCCCATTTGCAATACCTTGGGTTGTCTACTATTGCAAATGGTATGCCATCATGGGGGTAATTTTCATTCTTGGGCTACCGTAGGGTTTCAAAGGCAACATAACCAATCTGGTGAATTTTAATGTGAGAAAAATGAAACACAAGCCTTATATTTGACGCTGTAACTGCTCTCTCTCGCTCTTCCTGTCCTGAACTCTCCCTGTGTCTGTCTCTCTCTGTCCTTCTTGCTCACTCTCCCCGTGTCTGTCTGTCCTGCTCTCCCTCCCTCTCTCTGTCTGTCTTGCTCTCCCCGTGGTTGCCCTTCTCCCAGTTTGTCATTGAAGGACATGCTTCTCTTCCTCAGTCAGATTCCGGTGATGACATAATTTCCTGATTCAATGTCAGCCAATCGGAAGCTGGCTTACGGAGGTGTTATTTCCGCCTTCGGTGGAACGCAACCCCGGAAGTGAAGAGAACGCGCACTTCCTATTGGTCAGACAGCAGTAGGGCGTATCCTACCTGCTATCCGAGCTGTGATTGGGTAAAGCTGACGAGCCTGTGCGCTCTGATTGGTCAGTTAGGATTGAGTGGGCGGGAGTTCGCGCAAATTCTGCTGATGGGGCGTGGCAGTATTGAGTGTCTTCCTTCTCCGATTGGCCGGCCGGATTTCCTCTCTCGCTCTCCTATTGGCTGTGAGTTGCCCCGCCCTCCAGGTGGGTGTGAGCTCACTGCGGCGCTCGGTGCCGGCTCTTCCCGCTGCAGCCGCCGAGTGACGTCACTCCGGTTCCCAGCACTCCCCGCGCGGCGGACCGTTACCCTCAGGATGGCGCTCTGTGTGAGGAAACTCCGCGCGGCCCCGGCCCTGGGAAATAGGTGGAGGAATGGAGCCCGCGGGGCGGGAGGAGCGGCCGGGAGACTGCGCGAGGGGAACCGGGTGAGACTGACCGACCGGAAATACCGACTGACTGACCGGAAATACCGACTGACTGACCGGAAATACCGACTGACTGACCGGAAATACCGACTGACTGACCGGAAATACCGAGAGCTTTAGAGAGCGACTTACTGAATGTTCTGAAAGCTTTGCGGAGAGACCGGCCGGATACACCGAGTTACATACCATATAGAGGGACTGTGTGTATTATAGAGAGAGAGAGAGAGAGAGAGAGAGAGAGTTACATTCCATATAGAGGGACTGTGTGTATTATAGAGAGAGAGAGAGTTACATTCCATATAGAGGGACTGTGTGTATTATAGAGAGAGAGAGATAGAGAGTTACATTCCATATAGAGGGACTGTGTGTATTCTAGAGAGAGAGAGAGAGTTACATTCCATATAGAGGGACTGTGTGTATTATAGAGAGAGAGAGAGTTACATTCCATATAGAGACTGTGTGTATTATAGAGAGAGTTACATTCCATATAGAGGGACTGTGTGTATTATAGAGAGAGAGAGAGAGAGAGAGAGAGAGAGAGAGAGATACATTCCATATAGAGATAGAGGGACTGTGTGTATTATAGAGAGAGAGAGAAAGTTACATTCCATATAGAGGGACTGTGGTATTATAGAGAGAGAGAGAGAGTTACATTCCATATAGAGGGACTGTGTGTATTATAGAGAGAGTTACATTCCATATAGAGGGACTGTGTGTATTATAGAGAGAGGGTCTGTGTGTATTATAGAGAGAGAGAGAGTTACATTCCATATAGAGGGACTGTGTGTATTATAGAGAGAGAGAGTTACATTCCATATAGAGGGACTGTGTGTATTATAGAGAGAAAGAGAGAGTTACATTCCATATAGAGGGACTGTGTGTATTATATAGAGAGAGAGAGTTACATTATAGAGGGACTGTGTGTATGAGAGAGAGAGAGTTACATTCCATATAGAGGGACTGTGTGTATTATAGAGAGAGAGAGAGAGAGAGAGAGTTACATTCCATATAGAGGGAGTGTGTGTATTATAGAGAGAGAGAGAGAGAGAGAGTTACATTCCATATAGAGGGAGTGTGTGTATTATAGAGAGAGAGAGAGTTACATTCCATATAGAGGGACTGTGTGTATTATAGAGAGAGAGAGAGTTACATTCCATATAGAGGGACTGTGTGTATTATAGAGAGAGAGAGAGTTACATTCCATATAGAGGGACTGTGTGTATTATAGAGAGAGAGAGAGTTACATTCCATATAGAGGGACTGTGTGTATTATAGAGAGAGAGAGAGTTACATTCCATATAGAGGGACTGTGTGTATTATAGAGAGAGAGTTACATTCCATATAGAGGGACTGTGTGTATTATAGAGAGAGAGAGAGAGTTACATTCCATATAGAGGGACTGTGTATATTATAGAGAGAGAGTGAGTTACATTCCATATAGAGAGAGAGAGAGAGTGTTACATTCCATATAGAGGGACTGCGTGTATTATAAATGTTAAATCCCTTTATAGAGAGACCCGGGCTATTCAATAAAGTGAGAATCATCGGGAATTCAAAGTCAGTCTCACATTTATGGCCAAAGTAGCCGAACTGGACACATAGCTGAATTGAAGATTGTTTTAATTTGCGCTTTTTATTACTTAAAAATCACCTTGAATTACCAACAATTTTCATTTTAGTGATTAACCCAGGAAGTCTGTGTGCAAATATACACGGACTGTGTACCTTGAGAGGCTGTGCTCCCTTACTGATTGCCCAATGTACATTCTTAGAATCACATTGTCTGTCCTCGCGATCCCATCCCCAGCACTCTCAGCACTCTGCGATCCCATCCCCGGCACTCTCAGCACTCGGCGCTCCCATCCCCGGCACTCTCAGCACTCGGCACTCTCAGCACTCGGCGCTCCCATCCCCGGCACTCTCAGCACTCGGCGATCCCATCCCCGGCACTCTCAGCACTCGGCGATCCCATCCCCGGCACTCTCAGCACTCGGCGATCCCATCCCCGGCACTCTCGGCGCTCCCATCCCCGGCACTCTCGGCACTCGGAGATCCCATCCCCAGCTCTCGGCGATCCCATCCCCAGCACTCTCAGCTCTCGGCGATCCCATCCCCAGCACTCTCAGCTCTCGGCGATCCCATCCCCAGCACTCTCAGCACTCGGCGATCCCATCCCCAGTTCTCGGCGATCCCATCCCCAGCACTGTCAGCACTCGGCGATTCCATCCCCTTACAAGTCTACTTCATAAAACCCAGTTTAAGCTAGCACAGATCCTAGTGGTTTATTCACTAAACATTGAATTGTAGCAAAATAAAAAATCTGAATGGCAACATTTAAGCTAAAATAGAATTTTACCATTTCGATTTTAGGTTGCTATGATTTGGAGTTTGCTGAATAAAGTACATTGATGTACGGAGCAGGTTTAATATTTGTATTCGTGTTTTTTTGCTGATATTCTAATTCTGTGCATCCATAATATTTATTTCCAGTTCCGTGCTGTCACCTGGGATCCAGAGCTGAGCCCCCGTCCTCGTATCCCTGCTCCCCACAGACATCCTTTGCCTTCAGTACGTAGTGCGGTTTTACCACAAGCCAAGCACGAGGGCTCCCGGATGCACCCATCTCAGAGCAGGCATGTCAAAGCCCTGCGACAGCTGCAAGAGATTTTACAGTACAGTAAAGGACAGTCATCTACACAACTTATACCTTATCAGCCCGGTGCCAAGTCTGTAGATATATGCCCATTGGGAAGAGAGAGCTGGTATTTGAGCAGTGCCCAGTTGGACTGTTTCAGAAGTTTGTTTGAACCAGGAGTGTGTCGAACTCCATACCAGGATCTGGCATGCACCTCTCCTAGTATTCAGAAAGGAGTGCTAGCTTTTCAGCTAAGTAAGAAGGTTGGAGTGAGTCCCTCGCCAGGAGGAAACCAGGAGGACATGGAGCAGCACTTGGCAATAATGCACGCAAAGCTGAGGGAAGAAGTGAGTACCGCTCTGACCGCCCATATTCCCACTCACTATAACTAGAACTACTGATAAATCCAGAGCTAAACACACGAGTGCATGTAACTGCTTTGAAAAATCCGCCTCCCTAACTGTCTTCTAAGATAGATCTTTATATCAAACACTGTTGCTTTATGCTCTAACAGATCACTGTAGATTTAAGAAAAGGTAGTAATGTCATTATTTAATAACTGCAATAGTCAATGTTTGTTCCAAATTGTATATACCCTGTTAGCATTCTGTTGTCAAGTAAGGTGTGCCCTGCAGGACACTCTGTGTCAGGCAAAGAGTAAGATATATTCATATTTCCATTATTAATTGCAGTGTGTGTTCACTATTACAGTGAGCGTGTGCATTGTCTGTGCTCAGTATTTACTGTGTGTGTACTCAGTGTTCTTACTGTTGACTTATGCAGTGTGTGTGCGCTCGGTGATACTATTGGCACGTGCAGCATGTGTGCTCAGTGTTCTTACTGTTGGCTTATGCAGTGTGTGTGCTCAGTGTTCTTACTGTTGGCTTATGCAGTGTGTGTGCGCTCGGTGATACTATTGGCACGTGCAGTGTGTGTGCTCGGGGTTCTTACTGTTGGCTCGTGCAGTGTGTGCGTGCTCAGTGTTACTGTTGGCCCATGCTGTGTGTGTGTGTGTGCACTCAATATTCTTACTGTTGGCTCATGCAATGTGTGCTCTGTGTTACTGTTGGCTCATGCAGTGTGTGTGTGTGTGTGTGTGTGTGTGTGTGTGTACTCCGTGTTCTTACTGTTGGCTCGTACTGTGTGTGTGTGCGCGCTCACTGTTTTTACTGTTGGCTCGTGCAGTGTGTGTGCGCGTGCTCAGTGTTACTGTTGACTCGCGCTGTGTGTGTGCACCCATTGTTCTTACTGTTGGCTCGTGCTGTGTGTGCGTGCTCAGTGTTAATGTTGGCTTATGCATTGTGTACGTGCTCAGTGTTCTTACTGTTGGCTCGTGCAGTGTGTGTGTGCTCAGTGTTAATGTTGGCTTATGCATTGTGTACGTGCTCAGTGTTCTTACTGTTGGCTCGTGCAGTGTGTGTGTGCTCGGGGTTCTTACTGTTGGCTCGTGCAGTGTGTACGTGCTCAGTGTTCTTACGGATGGCTCGTGGATTGTGTGTTCAGTGTTTTTACTATTGGCTCGTGCAGTGTGTGTGTGCGCTCAGTATTACTCTTGGCTCATGCAGTGTGTGCACTCAATGTTCTTACTGTTGGCTCGTGCAGTGTGTGCGCGCTCAGTGTTCTTACCGTTGTCTCGTGCAGTGTGTGTGTGCTCAGTGTTAGTTGACTTGTGCAGTGTGTGCTCAGTGTTCTTACTGTTGGCTCACGCTGTGTGTGCTCAGTGTTTTTACTGTTGGCTTATGCAGTATGTGCGCGCTCAGTGTTACTGTTGGCTCGTGCAGTTTGTGTGCTCAGTGTTCTTACTGTTGGCTTATGCAGTATGTGCGCGCTCAGTGTTACTGTTGGCTCGTGCAGTGTGTGCGTGCTCAGTGTTCTTACGGATGGCTCGTGCAGTGTGTACGTGCTCAGTGTTCTTACGGATGGCTCGTGGAGTGTGTGTATGCGCTCAGTATTACTATTGGCTCATGCAGTGTGTGCGCTCAGTGTTCTTACTGTTGGCTCGTGCAGTGTGTGTGCTCAGTGTTCTTACTGTTGGCTCGTGCAGTGTGTGTGCGCTCAGTGATACTGTTGGCTCGTGCTGTGTGTGTGCTCTGGGTTCTTACTGTTGGCTCATGCAGTGTGTGCTCTCAGGGTTCTTACTGTTGGCTTGTGCAGTGTGTGTGCTCGGGGTTCTTACTGTTGGCTCGTGCAGTGTGTGTGCGCTCAGTGATATTGTTGGCACGTGCAGTGTGTGCTCTCAGTGTTCTTACTGTTGGCTTATGCAGTGTGTGTGCGCTCAGTGTTCTTACGGATGACTCGTGCAGTGTTACGTGTTCAGTGTTCTTACTGTTGGCTCGTGCTGTGTGTGCTCAGTGTTTTTACTATTGGCTTGTGCACTGTGTGTGTGCGCTCAGTATTACTCTTGGCTCATGCAGTGTGTGCTCTCAGTGTTCTTACTGTTGGCTTATGCAGTGTGTGTGCGCTCAGTGTTCTTACGGATGACTCGTGCAGTGTTACGTGTTCAGTGTTCTTACTGTTGGCTCGTGCTGTGTGTGCTCAGTGTTTTTACTATTGGCTTGTGCACTGTGTGTGTGCGCTCAGTATTACTCTTGGCTCATGCAGTGTGTGCGCTCATTGTTCTTACTGTTGGCTTGTGCAGTGTGTGTGTGCTCGGGGTTCTTACTGTTGGCTCGTGCATTGTGTGCGCTCAGTGTTCTTACTGTTGGCTTATGCAGTATGTGCGCGCTCATTGTTACTGTTGGCTCGTGCAGTTTGTGTGCTCAGTGTTCTTACTGTTGGCTCGTGCAGTGTGTTCGTGCTCAGTGTTCTTACGGATGGCTCGTGGATTGTGTTCAGTGTTTTTACTATTGGCTCGTGCAGTGTGTGTGTGTGTGTGTGCTCAGTGTTAGTTGACTTGTGCAGTGTGTGCTCAGTGTTCTTACTGTTGGCTCGTGCAGTGTGTGTGTGCGCTCAGTGATACTGTTGGCACGTGCATTGTGTGCGCTCAGTGTTCTTACTGTTGGCTTGTGCAGTGTGTGTGTGCTCGGGGTTCTTACTGTTGGCTCATGCTGTGTGTGCTCAGTGTTTTTACTGTTGGCTTATGCAGTATGTGCGCGCTCATTGTTACTGTTGGCTCGTGCAGTTTGTGTGCTCAGTGTTCTTACTGTTGGCTTATGCAGTATGTGCGCGCTCAGTGTTACTGTTGGCTCGTGCAGTTTGTGTGCTCAGTGTTCTTACTGTTGGCTCGTGCAGTGTGTACGTGCTCAGTGTTCTTATGGATGGCTCGTGGATTGTGTGTGTTCAGTGTTTTTACTATTGGCTCGTGCAGTGTGTGTGTATGCGCTCAGTATTACTGTTGGCTCATGCAGTGTGTGCGCTCAGTGTTCTTACTGTTGGCTCGTGCAGTGTGTGTGCTTAGTGTTCTTACTGTTGGCTTATGCAGTGTGTGCGCTCAGTGTTCTTACTGTTGGCTCGTGCAGTGTGTACGTGCTCAGTGTTCTTACGGATGGCTTGTGCAGTGTGTACGTGCTCAGTGTTCTTACGGATGGCTCGTGGAGTGTGTGTTCAGTGTTTTTACTATTGGCTCGTGCAGTGTGTGTGTGTGCTCAGTGTTCTTACTGTTGGCTCGTGCAGTGTGTGTGCTCAGTGTTCTTACTGTTGGCTCGTGCAGTGTGTGTGCTCAGTATTTTTACTGTTGGCTCGTGCAGTGTGTGTGCGCTCAGTGATACTGTTGGCACGTGCATTGTGTGCACTCAGGGTTCTTACTGTTGGCTTGTGCTGTGTGCGCTCAGTGTTTTTACTGTTGGCTTATGCAGTATGAGCGCGCTCATTGTTACTGTTGGCTCGTGCAGTTTGTGTGCTCAGTGTTCTTACTGTTGGCTCGTGCAGTGTGTGCTTAGTGTTACTGTTGGCTTATGCAGTATGAGCGCGCTCATTGTTACTGTTGCCACGTGCAGTGTGTGTGCGCTCAGTGTTCTTACTGTTGGCTTATACAGTGTGTGTGCGCTCACTGTTCTTACTGTTGGCTCTTGCAGTGTGTGTGTGTGTGTGCGCTCAGTGTTGCTGTTGGCTTATGCAGTGTGTGTGTGTGTGCGCTCAGTGTTCTTACTGTTGGCTCGTGCAGTGTGTGTGTGTGCTCAGTGTTACTGTTGACTTGTGCAGTGTGTGCTCAGTGTTCTTACTGTTGGCTTGTGCAGTGTGTGTGCTTGGGGTTCTTACTGTTGGTTTGTGCAGTGTGTGCGTGCTCAGTGTTACTGTTGGCTTATGCAGTGTGTGTGTGTGTGTGCGCTAAGTATTCTTACTGTTGGCTCGTGCTGTGTGTGCTCTCAGTGTTACTTTTGGCCCGTGCAGTGTGTGTGTGTGTGTACTCCGTGTTCTTACTGTTGGCTCGTACTGTGTGTGTTTAGTGTTTTTACTGTTGGCTCGTGCAGTGTGTGCGCGCTCAGTGTTTTTACTGTTGGCTCGTGCAGTGTGTGCGCGCTCAGTGTTTTTACTGTTGGCTCGTGCAGTGAGTGCCTGCTCCGTGTTCTTACTGCTGGCTTGTGCAGTTTGTGCTCAGTGTTCTTACTGTTGGCTCGTGCATTGTGCGTGTGTGCATTCAGTGTTTTTACTGTTGGTTTGTGCAGTGTGTGCACTCAGAGTTACTGTTGGCTCACACAGTGTGCGTGTGTGCTCAATGTTTTTTTATTGAAGGCTTGTGCTGTGTGTTTGCGCTCAGTGTTTTTACTGTTGGCTTGTGCTGTGTGTTTGCGCTCAGTGTTTTTACTGTTGGCTTGTGCTGTGTGTTTGCGCTCAGTGTTTTTACTGTTGGCTCGTACAGTGTATACGCACAGAAAGATGTTACAAAAGTTCTAAACCTAGCTTGACCTACATCCACAGCAGTACTGAACCAAAGACTGATTAGCAGATAAGCAATACTTTCTCTAACAGTTTAACGCCTTAGACCACACCCTTAAGAATCATTATCAGCCCCTGTAGAACCCACCCTCATACATTGTCCTGCTTAATTTGTTCTATGCAGCCCTGCTACTGTTAAATTAGTCCGATATTTCATTTGGTATAGAAGTGTTGATAGCTGGTTTATTATGATGGAAATATTCTATCACTGGTCCAAAAGGACCCAGAAACAGAACAAATCTGAAACTGGCCCCAATGTCATTAGGGCAACCCCCTGAAAATGAAACATCAATGATGTCCATTGAGTATTGCCCCTCCCATAGAACCTTGCTCCTCCCCTTCTTCCTCCGATATAACCTTGCTCCTCCCCTTCTTCCTCTGATATAACCTTGCTCCTCCCCTTCTTCCTCCGATATATAACCTTGCTCTCACTTTCATCTTTCTCCATCCTGTAGTGCATTTCCATTGTCTCACATTTGTTTGTTTACCAATAATATCTGGCCTTTCTTTTGTAGTTGCCGATGATGATGAAGAGACTGGATTTTTCTATATACAGGAAAGACGTGGAGTTTGTCAGTAGCATGCTACACATACACACACGGTGAGAGCCTCTCTATATTGGTACTTCCCCTCCATAATTCTCCTGCTGCGATCTGGCTGATCATGAGCTTTTTCTTACAGAGGTCTCGTTCTGTACCAGCTGCTTGTGTCACTCTCCCGACTGCTGTTTCTGAGTTATTTTTCCAATACCCATGTCTCTGTCCTGAAGTTGACGACTCACCCAGAAACCTGCAGTATCCAGGCTCGCTGGTCAGTCTCAGGCCTTCCCCTGCACTCTGTTTTCTTTTACATTTTCCGCACGGACAAAGCAGAGCTATACAGGTTAGCATTTTCTTTGACTGGAGGCAGGTGACACTGCCTTTATATTTTATATACGCTTTGACCCATAACCTGATTCTAATATTTATGTTTTCAGTACATATGATGCTCACTCCACCTTTTATTTGGCTGCTGATGGTCTGATACGTCTACATAAATTGGAGCAGGTGAGTATATTAAAGCCTGGTGACTGAGCCTAACCAATAAGTATACACCGACATGGACTCTTCATTTAGTGATTCAGTGACCTAGAAATACTGGATATTAGTCTGTTTATAATCCTACAGAGTAGAATGGAAATAGAGGGTGCGCCCTGTAGCCATACACCGCTATAAAGGTGCTGGCAGTCTGTGTCTAATCCATAGGAAAAGAGGGAAAGTAGTTAAATCTTGACCTATAGCAATTTAATGACACAGACAATCAATCAAGCCCATATCTCCCAACATTTCTAATCGACGAAGAGGGTAACTTTCATTTCGGGCGTGTGATCAGACACCAATGGTAGAGAGCTCATAGAAAAGAGGGACAATTGGGAGGTATGCTCATACAGGTAAAGGAGACCCACAGTTATACACTAAGACAGACTGAATTGAGATAAGAGTGTAAGCTTATGGAGTTTTTAGTCTGAGCCTCCCACGTATGGAGTGGTCCTTGCAGGAAGATAGGATGTCTACCTTTCTAAAGTTATTCTTCATATATCTCTCTGTGTAGGTGATGCCCTCTGCGCCGCTCACACTTCCCAAGAAGACTGTCCTTGCCGCCGCCCTAATCGCCCTGGGACTTGGAGAGCATCGCCCGGCATTAAATCTTCTATCTTCCCGTAAAATAGTCCACAAACTCTGATATCTGATGATTGGAAGTGTATGTTTTTCTTTGCACGTTGCTGCTGCTTAGGACATGTTATCTAAGCGACCTTCAGTGTAGGAATTTCCACTTAAATCTTCTAGCCAGCAAAGGCTTAGGAAATGCCCTCTGCTTCCCGATCGCAAGGAGCAAAGTAAACTCCTGATAGTATTATCCAGCGGCTAATAAACACTGACCTAACCATATGGGTGGTGGGAAAAAGGATGGCATTAAAATTGGTAATCATGGGCCAACAACCTGTACCTGTTGAGCAAGTGGGAGGAGCAGGGGCTGTGTACCCACCTTACCCACCCCATTTCCTCTGTACTGGTCACCGTATTGGAGAGAATATGAAGGTGTCTGACACTGTGGAGCATGTAGGACCAAGCTAGGAGATTAACAAATATTGCTGTGGGTGCAGATCCTCAGTATTTCCCACTAGATCACTGGGTAAGGGCTGGATTTACAGCAGGACATCCTGTATCTTATTAAATTCGTTCCATGAGCCCCTTCTAAGGTGGAGTTCATCACCCGCTGGAGAGTCTACAGGAGGCTTGTTGCTGCATTAGAGGATGCACCTTAACCTGTGGCTTATTAAGGTTCTTCCCATCTGCCTTCATTCTCCCTGTCATCTTTCATTCTGTATGAAACCACTGCTGGAGGCTGGTTATGATGTCCCCCTGCTGAGATGCACTGTACGCATGAATGTGTAACATATACTGTATATAATTAAATTATAACAAGTGTCCTACAATGCTACGTCTTGTGTCTACTGCTGTTAAACTAAGCTTACATGCAGATACATCTACCTGTGAGAGGCTGGCGTAAAAGATGCACTTACAAGCAATCATGGTTTGTTTGGCTAGCACCCCGCATTGATCACAAATGGCTAGTCTACTAATGTCAAGTTTGGGTGATGGAGTCAATATATACACTGTCCATAGCACACAGCGGCAGTGTGGGAGAGAGATTGTCAATCCTAGTATTTCAGCACAGGGTGAACCTGATAGCTACTAGACTAATGATTTTTACCTTGATAGTCCTAAACCTCTCCAGTGCTAAGGATCGTGGTCACTGGACTAGATCATAATAAATTGTGCCCTTATGGTCACCCTGCGCATTGTGGGCTATACAGCACTAAATGTTGAGATGGACCATAAGACACCTGAAATCAGGGGGTATTTTCATAGAGTGCACAACAGGTAAATACTGAAGATATTGCCCTGTTCTTCATCTGTCACACTTATACTGGGTGCTAGCTATGTATTCCATGCTTCAAATCTATTTAAAGACAGTGCTCGGTAATCAAGCAATTGATAGAATAGCTGAGTCAAGGAGGACAAATCTCTCTTTAAAACTTGGGATCTTTCATTATGCAATCCCCTGGCTGGGGTGCCCAGCCTAGCAAGCGCTGTGATGGAACACTAACACAATGTTTCTCTTTAAAGTGACTATAGTGTTCCTTTAATTACTTTAGCTAAATAAAGCAGTTTTAGTGTATAGATCATTCCCCTGCAATTTCACTGCTCAATTCACTGTCATTTAGGAGTTAAATCACTTTGTTTCTGTTTATGCAGCCCTAGCCACACCTCCCCTGGCTATGATTGACAGAGCCTGCATGAAAATAAAAATGGGAAAAAGAAAGTGGCGATGAGATTATCTAAATATAGAAGACAGAAAATAAGGGGATAACCCTAAATAGGAAACAATTGGAAGGAGAGAGATTCTGTCCCTTTGATAAAAATCTAGAAGATACTTTATTGATCTAATACAAAAGACATTCCTAAATAGACTGCCCCTCTTACTCTAATGCGATACTGATGGGTGTCTAAAGCTAGACAGACCAAAGGACCACCTATAGGTACTGAGGGCGTGTATAAAGGAGAAGGGAAAGGAGAAGGGAAAACATAAAACACAAAATAATAATGATTCGTTAGAATATACTAATATATATGGGTGTGTACACTGAGTACCTATAGGTGGTCCTTTGGTCTGTCTAGCTTTAGACACCCATCAGTATCGCATTAGATTAAGAGGGGCAGTCTATTTAGGAATGTCTTTTGTATTAGATCAATAAAGTATCTTCTAGATTTTTATCAAAAGGACAGAATCTCTCTCCTTCCAATTGAAAATAACTGGTTTCACTTTCAAACAGATGTGTTTTACCTTAAAGAATTGTATCTCAATCTCTAAATTGAACTTTAATCACATACAGGAGGCTCTTGCAGGGTCTAGCAAGCTATTAACATAGCAGGGGATAAGAAAATCTTAATTAAACAGAACTTGCAATAAAGAAAGCCTAAATAGGGCTCTCTTTACAGGAAGTGTTTATGGAAGGCTGTGCAAGTCACATGCAGGGAGGTGTGACTAGGGTTCATAAACAAAGGGATTTAACTCCTAAATGGCAGAGGATTGAGCAGTGAGGCTGCAGGGGCATGTTCTATACACCAAAACTGCTTCATTAAGCTAAAGTTGTTCAGGTGACTATAGTGTCCCTTTAACATGGGCTGTCTTTCTAAAGATATTTGGATACGGCTTAGACTAGATACCCACACTTTCTGCAGGTCAGCTAAAATCACGTAGGCAGGATATGCTTCTGAGCCTTAGTGATATTTATAAGGATATAAAACATTATAATGGAAACGTGAGGTTCTCAATGTGCAGCAGTCACCATGGAAACCAGTAGATCATTTATATTATGGGTTTCTGGCAGCTGACCTGGAAAGATTTCATGGCCTTCAGTCAGCTTTCTTAGACAGTCAGGCCATAGACAAGCTGGGTCAGCGTGACCTTGGCCGGCATTCTTCCCTTCATGTTACCCAGACTACACAAGAATAATGTGATCTCACAAGGACGATGACTGGTGAGGTTTTATCTAAATGCTCATAAATAAAACTCCATTTGGACAACTCAACATTGACACAAACCTCAGAAAAGTCTTTCACTCAGCATGGACTCCATAACTGGACAATCTACCAATTCCAAAGTCTGGTTACCTACTGAACACAAGTCACGGAAATTGTATCTTAGGAGGTGAGGCCAAAGGAATTCTGGAATTCATACCAGCCCACAACATAGTATGGAAAAGGCATGGGCACACAATTGCATATCCGCCTGCTTCTTATTAGCCCTTACAATCCTACTCAACATAAAAAATAATGGGAGGTCATTCTGGTACCCAAAGCATATAGGAAAATCCAATGTATGATTATCTTATTTTCCTCCAACACTGCACACATGGTTTGGCAGACATGTTACAACTGCAACATTAGTCCTGTATCTGCTTGTAACGCCTGATGTATGATGAGGAAATAGAGAGCCAGATCCTCAAAAACAACTGAGTCCTATAAATCTAAAGGATACATTCTAATACACTCCGACTTAGAGAATTATTCATGGATACTAAATTGTGGAGGATTAATAGTTTGACAGTTTTAGGAACAAACAGCCAACTGAATATATGCTCCATAATACATGCTGACAATATAGGTCAGCAATATCCAGTTAAGAGATTTAAAGTCCGGATGCAATCAATAATTTAAAGGGACACTATAGGCACTGTGTCTGCTTAACCTTACTAAGCTGGTTATAGTGTCTGGAGTCCCCTGGTACAGTCATTTCATTACGTATTAAACCATATTTAATGTTAAACGTGAGTCCGCAGTATTAGCTTGACTTAAAATGGGCAGCTGACTGCTTTTAGCCTATCAGACCGTTGAAGTGTTGGATCCCTGCCTTAGACATACCTCCAGAAGGGGCCAAGGACACTTATTTAGTGCTAAACTGCAATAATATGGTTTAACACTGAATTGAGGGACAATTCCAGGGGACTCCAGCCACTATAACCAATTCAAAGAGATTAAATGGTTATAGTGACTAGTGTGCCTTTAAGTGGAGCAGAATGCAGCCCCCAATTCATTATCCTGATCTGTCTTTACGAAGTGAATTAAATGTCCAGTGTGTGTCAATAGGTACCAAAATTATCTCCTAATGGCCAACCTACTGTGTTGATTAGCATTTCACCGTTTATTTACTTAAAAATGGATTAGTAAAAATCCTTTTAAATTGTCACTATTTATCCCTTCAGTTTTCTGCCTCCCAGCTACAAGTGATGTGTGAACTGATTGTCTCTGATTGTTGGCAATTCACAGCTTAGTATTTTAGCAGTTCAAGCCCCTTGTGAATTCTCCACAATTTCCAGGTATGCGAATAAAACAAAATGTGAAAGGAATGCTCATACAGCGTACATACATCATATACACTATGCTCCGTTCAGAGGGCACAGACTGCTCAGAGCCAATATATAAATATTTATTTGTATTCTTTGCATTAACAAGGCAGCAAGATGGAAATAAAAATAGTTTCTCCCACTGGGTGGGATCCTTTTCTGAGGGGGTGAGGTTCCCTCCTTCATTGGATGTGGCACAGTAACAGTCGCTCGTCTCCTGTGATCTCATTCCTTCTCCCGGGGCTTATTGACCATCACCTCCCCCAGGCTCTCCAGGACTTCTCTCTTATAGTCGTCAAAGTCTCCCTCGATCTGGTTCACAGTCTGTTCTTCCACCACCCACAATTGGCAGTTCGTCTCTGTGATGAGACGGGCATCGTGGCTGACCGTAATCACCGCTGCAGAGACAAGACAATGTTAATGTAAAGTGTAACAAGGCTAAAATCTACATTACAAATACTGGGATAGCTGTATCTCCATGAAATTAACAACTGGTATAAAATGCTAATGACTCGCACCAAGACCACCTCTATCAAGGAAATGTGTTTGATCTCTCAATAAACATTTTTTTTGTAGCTAAAACGGTCAGGAACTCCTCAGAGGAGAGAAAGATCGCCGGACCCTGCAGCTCTCTGAACATTTAGAGTCTCACTATCACTGTTGGTACATCACCGAAATTACTGTCACCAACACAATTAATAAGACAAAGTAGGGGATGGATTAGGCTAGTGAAATGTGAATCACATTCCTTCCACCAGCTGCTGCGTAGAGCCATTTCTCCTCCGTCATCTTTTGTGACAGCTGCAGGTAGTTAGCGAAGATCTACAGAGAATACAACAATCTGTTCTACTGATCCCATTATTTACAATCGCACATTTGTGAAGGTACAAAGAGGACAAGTCTCCAAGCAAAGACAGAAAACCAGAGGTGATGAGTTAGGGAAGCTTTAGGTAATTTTGGCTACCGAGGCAAATCAGGTTGCAAACGTCTAACTGCTTAGGGGCTTCTATTAGTTTCCATAGTGATTGCTCCTTATTTAAACACTTTGCACCAGTTCTTTGGATTGGAGAATATCCACCGTGTGTACCAACATGCAAGCAGTTATGTCAAAAGGGTGGGTGGGGATGGATGTTCTTTGAAAACTAGACTGATTTAACGTGAATTCACATTGTATAGCAGCAAATGGGGTACAGTCAGCGTTGCGCACTAATAAACCCCCTGAAATAAGTAATCTTTGTTTAGAGCATTGCGCCCTAATATTAACAGTGGAGAAACACACTGTAATGTAAAATACATTAATCGTGGCATTTGCTCCATTAGACTGCAAGTTCTCCTGTGCTAGCCTACATGGTGAAAGGCTAATCACTCACATCTCAATATTAAATTATTTCACTAATGAGTTTATTTCATCAGGATGTACAACCGGTTCCAGCCATGACTTCAATTATCCCCACACAATCCACTCTCATGACATCAATATCCTCATCTCTATAGATATCCCCTTTCAGTGATTTGTTTGTGTGGCC